TAAGTTTTGACATATGTCACATGATAAAAGCATGGCCACAAGCAAAGCAGTGAACAGATCTATCGTGCCAATGTTTTTTTTTTTTGACCCATTGTAATCCCTCCACCCTCCTTGCCTTCTCCAATCCCAGGTACACATTCATCTGCTTTCTGTCACCTTACATAAGCTTCCATTTCCTGGACTTTTATATCAATGCAATCATGTAGTATATACTCTGGTTTTTGGTCTGTCTTCTTTCCCTTAAATCATTATTTTGAGACTCAGCCATGTTATAGCATGTATCAATGGTTCATTCCCTTATATTGCTGAGTAGTGTTCTATTACCTGGATATGCCAGTCTGTTTATCCACTTACCTGTTGATGGACACTTGGATTGTTTCCAGTTTTTTGGCTATTACAAATAAAACTGGTATGGAACATTCATTTAAAAGTTTTTTTTTCTTTTTCTTTTTGAGTCGAAGTCTCACTCTGTTGCCCAGGCTGGAATGCAGTGGCACAATCACATCTCATGGCAGCCTTGACCTCCTGGGTTCAGTTGATCCTCCCATTTTAGCCTCGCAAGTAGCTGGGACTACAGGCATGCGCTACCACACCTGGCTGATTTTTAAGATTTTTTTGTAGAAACAAGGTCTGTGTTGCCCAGGCTAGTCTTGAACTCTTGGGCTCAAGCAGTCTTCCTGCCTCAACCTCCCACAGTGCTGGGATTACAGGTGTGAGCCCATTTACAAGACTTTTTATGGATAGATGCTTTCATTTCTCTTGGGTAAATACCTAGTAGAATTGCTGGGTCACATGGTCGGTGTATGTTCAATTTTTTTAAACAAACTGTCAACCTGTTTTCCAAGTTAGTTGTGCCTTTTTTTTTTTTTAGTCGGAGTCTCACTGCTTTCCAGGCTGGAGCGCAATGGCATGCTTATGGCCATCCCAGCCTCAACCTGCTGGGCTCAGGCGATCCTTCCACCTAGGCCTTCCAAGTAGCTGGAACTACAAGCGCATGACACTATGCCCAGCTAATTTTTTTTTTTACTGTAGAGATGAGGTCTCACCAAGTTGCCCAGGCTGGTCTTGAACCCCTGGAATCAGGCAATCCCCTCACCTCGAACTCCCAAAGTGCTAGGATTACAGGCTTGAGCCCAGCCTAGTTGTGCCATTTTGCAATTCCACCAGTGGTGTATGAGAAGGAATGAGAGTTTTACAACCTTAAAAATATCTCGTGATGACTGCTTTCAATGAATGTGAAAGGTGTCTATAGGGTGCTGTGATGAGACAAAGATGATTAGATGAGGCGAGGCTCTAGCTGGAATGATTAGAACACCAGCGGAAAAGAGCTGCAAAGAAGTTTATTCATTAGGATAAATTAACATATCGACATCTAAGCATTCCTGTTCATACTAACCAACCACAACTTTATTACTCAACTGCCTCTTAGAGGTATCTGTTAACATCTTTATCAGTGAGATAAAGACCACACCAATCCACCTCAAAATGAGTGGCTTAAGACAACATGTATTCTTCCTCATGTGTCTATGGGTCAACAGGGCAGTTTTGCTGACTTGGACCAACTTAGCTCAATTATTGGTCTCAATTATAGGTCAGCCAGCAGTTTAGCTGGGCCTCTTTGCTACTTGCCTTAGCTCATGTGGTCCCCTCCTCTAGCAGGCTAGCCCAGACTTCTTCTCATCATGATTTTAGGCTGGGAACTGCCACATTTTCTTAGCCAATGCCAGTTCCAAAGCCAGAGTAGATTCAGGAGATGGAGTAGAACTGCAAAGTCACTGCAAAATGTGTGGTCAAATATATGGATGAGCAAAAAATCAGAGACATTTTTCATCTACCACATAAACAAACACCAACTTGCCAACCATTTTTCAGTATTCAACATAATTCCTTATCTGACAATGTCATCTTGCTAGAACTTGGCTGAGACCAAATAAATAATAGGTCCTCTGAGCCAGTTCTGTTTTTTTTTTTTTTTGAGTTGGAGTCTCACTCTGTCGCCCAGACTGGAGTGCAGTGGCCGCTCCCGGCCACCGCAGCCTCAACCTGCTGGGCTCTGGCAATCCTTCCGCCTCAGCCTTCCAAGTAGCTGGAACTACAGGCATGTGCTACCACGCCCGGGCTG